GAAATTCTTGTGTCTGTTCCTAAGAATACATTAAAGTATGTCTGGAAAACATATATTTATGTGAAGATATACTGGGCATCAAGATAACATGCAATCGAGACACTAGAAACTAAAGATGGTTATCAACTATTAAAACACATAACATGAAATGACATAAAACATTATGCCAAGCACCAAGTGGCTTGTCACATGTAGATTACAAATGTTTGTGTAACTTTTTTGTTTAATAATATTTTCTGCCAAGTAGAAACAGTTAATAAAGCTTTATAATTTTTTTTTTTTTTGAGAAGGAATTTCACTCTTGTTGCCCAGGCTGGAGTGCAATGGCATGATCTCAGTTCACCACAATCTCCACCTTCTGGGTTCAAGCGATTCTCCTGTCTCAGCCTCCGGGTAGCTAAGCTGGGATTACAGGCATCCACCACCACACTTGGCTAATTTTGTATTTTTAGTAGAGATGGGTTTTCTCCATGTTGGTCAGGCTGGTCTTGAACTCCCAAGCTCAGGTGATCCGCCCACCTCGGCCTCCCAAAGTGCTGGGATTAAAGGCGTGAACCACCACGCCTGTCCCAGCCCTATAATTTTTTTAAAACATAACTAGGCCAGGTGCAGTGGCTCATGCCTGTAACCCCAGCACTTTGGGAGGCTGAAACGCTTAGATCCCTTGAGCCCAGGTGTTCAAGACCAGTCTGGACGACATGGTGAAACACCGTCTCTAAAAATATATATATGTATTAGCCAGGTATGCTGGTGCACACATGTAATCCCAGCTATTAGAGAGGCTGAGGTAGGAGAAGCGCTTAAGCCTAAGAGGTCAAAGTTACAGTGAGTTGTGATTGTGCCACTGCATTCCAACCTGGGCAACAGAGCAAGACCCTGTCTCCAAAAAACCCTGTAACTGTACATACAAAAAAGCAAAGCTACCTTTACTTACAGAAAGTGGAAGAAAGCATCTTTGAAAGTATGTTTGATGGAGGTAAAAGGTTGACAAGATAAATGAATGAACTTCCTTAATTTGAAAATGTAGGGAACCGAAAAGCAGAGAAATTAGAAATGTCCAAATCATCAGATAAGAATATAAAACATCCATGAAAGAACCAGTAATCTCCTGTAGCCACAGGACTGAGATTTGGGAAAACCAGATCCACAGTCGAATCTAGTGGTTGGCTGAATTACAACACAAATGCAATTCCTACTCTCTCAAGGTATCTTCTCTTCATGTTAGAGCACTGATTGAGAATGAATGGGATCCTGAATATTTGAATGGGACATATATGCAGACTTTGATGAAGTTGGGTACCTTGAATCCCTAAATTCTGTGAGATACATTTTTAGGTTAAAAAACAACTTCGCTCCTGCCTGAAGAGTTTATTTCTCCTCTGCCTGAAGGACCTGCAGTAGTCTCATCTGAGATAGTGGCCTTGCAAGACACTGTTGATCCTCCTGAGAAACTGCACCCACCACGTTTACTTCCTTCAAAACCCTGTAAGACTCAGGTTTCCACCAGCCCCAAACTGGAAGGTACATGAGTGTGACCCATTAGTAGGGGTAGAATTTACTACAACAACTACTGATTTTTTTTCCCCAATGCTAATAGGCAGAAGCCTAGAGACTTTGTGTGGAAATGGTTCTTGAGGGTGGGGTATGATGGTAGAAGAAAAATAAATTCAAGTCACACCAAATTTATTGATATAGAGTCATTAAGCGAAGGCTGTGGATTCAGTGCCTTTGTCTGAGAGGTTAAAGATGACTCTAGCAGTTTGCTTGGTTCATTAACTAAAATAAGGAAGCAATTGTTAACTATTGTCAATTAAGGAGAAATTCAAGGACTTTCTTCATATAATCCAATGGCTTTAAGACATTGGAATGTTAGAGTGAATTTATCATGGAACAACTGCTCAGACATGCTGGTAGGTCCAGAGGTTGTGACTTTCACCAAGGCAGTGAGAAATTACTTTGTAAGGGGAGCACAGAAATCTGTGAGGAGCTTTGTGTTGGCTCTCTTCTTTAGTGAGACATTTCTTGCCCTTGAGGAAAGATCATGCTACACTACCAAACAACTACGCTGTTAATTGTTGTCCCGACCTTCCTCAACAGACCTGTGGCCAGTTATTAGAGCGGCAGTGCATGATGGAAAAGTAAATAATCAGAATTCTCAGGGATCACTTGATAATGACTTTGAACTGGTACTAATTCCAGGAACCCAAAATGTCACTATTAGAATGTCAACTCTTATAATAAGAGCTGTAGTTTCTGGTAATCATGTGGTTTTACATCAGGTAATCCATGTGGTTTTACACTGGTTCCAATGTACAGTGGACTGAGTCGTTCTGTGAATCCACCCTCTGGGTGTTCCCCAGTTTCAGAATGCATAGTTGGAGACATACTCAGTGACTGGCAGAATACCCACAGAATACCCCTGACCTGTGGAGTGAGGGCTGCTATGGATGGGAAGGCCAAGTAGAAGCCACTAAAACTGCCCTACTTATGAAAATTGTGATTCACAGGCAGTACTACTTTCCTGGAGGGACTGTAGTAACTGGTGGTAATACCAAGCATTTGAAAGACACAGACAGGTGATTCTTCAGCCATCCGTTTCAACTGAACTATTTGTCCTGCGCAGAAATAAATGGATTTTGGGCCAGACATGGTGGCTCAAGCCCGTAACCCTAGAACTTTGGGAAGCCAAGATGGGCAGATAATTTGGGGTCAGGAGTTCAAGACCAGCCTGGCTAAGATGGTGAAACCCTGTCTCTACTAAAAAAGACAAACAATTAGCCAGGTGTGATGGTGTGCACCTATAGTTCCAGGTACTCAGGAGGATGAGGCAAGAGAATTGCTTGAACTGGGGAGGTGATGTTGCCATGAGCTGTGATTGCACCATGAACTTAATTAAATTGTTTTTCCAACTGCAGCTGCTGTACCACAGGTGGTTTTGTTCCTTTAGCAACTGTGGCATCCCTGGGAATCTCATATAAAATGGTGAGTAGGTGAATGTGTTTTTTTTTTCTTTCAGTAATTGTCACAAGCAAGAGTTTGGGTTTAGCTGGAAAGGCTGGCAAAGCACTATCACCTCCCATTTCAAGCTTATATCAACTCTGCTAGCTGCAGAGACCAACACTGATTCCCCAATATGGCACCATGTCCCAGAGTGATCAGTCAGCTTCCAGGTGACACGGTGATTACTTGGGTCTGCTTCCACAATTGAAGGAGCATCACTTTGATCTTGCTCAAATGGACACTTATTCTGGATATGGATTTTCATTCTCACCCATGGTACTTCAAGAAAACAAACACTGTGGTATTAGGAAAGGCTGTGTCCACCATCATGGTATCCCACACTGTACCAGTTTTAAACAGGAAACTCACTTTACAGGAAATGAAGTATGGCAATAGGCTCATGCTAGCCAATTAGGCTAGTCTTGTGATGTACTTCACCATCCTGAAGTGGCTGGCTCAATAGAACCGTGGAATGATCTTCTAAAGCCTGACTTGTAATTCTAGCTTTGTGGTAGTGCCTTAAGGGTCTTGGCTAACAATCTAGGAGGTGGCAATGCTGTATCCCAGCATCAAGTATATGGAACTATTTTTCTTTTTTTTTTAAATAAAATTTAAAAAATAATAATCCTTATCACTCAATATAAATGCTAGATCGCTGTCCTGATATATAAGGACTGTAATGTAATGACAACTGCAGTTCAAGAAACCGAAGGCCATTCACCTTCATGTTCTGGATGAAATAAGGAATCACTGATTTTAATAAACTGATCAACTTCAAAAGCCCCCCTCACCCGGAAAGCCTCAGATCTAGAACTGTCAGAGTCAAGTCTCTGCCTGAGAAACTCCTTTCCACGCCACAGAACCTCACCTGTTTGGCGTTCCAGGGCCTGGGTGAACTGGTTAATGGCAGAAGGCACTTTCAGCCACCTATAAAGGATGGCTCTCTGCCGCTGCAACCTGATACAACGGGGCCATTTCACAAAGTGGGTGAGGTCTTTTCGGTTGGATGTCCTGTCCTGAGAAGTAAAGGGCGACATCGACTGAGTGAGGCTCAATGGAACTATTTATTGTAGCCACATCTGTGTCTTCAAGAATGAAAGAGGCAAGATGAGGGCCTCCTCTCACTATTACTTCTGGGTATCTAGTAGTAAAATTTTGCTTCTTGCAAACATTTGGCTCTGCTGGACTAGAGATCTTAGTTACAAATTGAAATATTTTTTTTCAACAGCAGATCCAAAAATCATTCCATTGAAATGAAAGTTGTGTCTGCAAGCTGACCACTTTGGAAAGTTTATTCTCAAACAAGAGACAAAGAAGGAGGTCCGCTAGTGTCTGGGGTGATGGAAAATGACAATCAAAGGGAGATGGGGTTCCTACTACACCAGAGAAAGGGAGATGGGGTTCCTACTACACCTAAGAAAGAGTATGTCTTATATGTCTACAGAGCTTCTTAGTCCTCCCATGTTTTGCGATTAGAATTAATGGAAATTACAGCAAATGAAAGTTGTGTCTGCAAGCTGACCACTTTGAACTCTTCATTCCTCTCAACCAAGAGACAAAATAGGGGGCCTGCTACTGGCTCAGGTGATGGAAAGAAAAATGGATATTGGGTTCCTACTACACCAGGGGCTAAGGAACAGCATGTCTGATATGTCTAGAGAGCTTCTTAGTACTCCTATGTTTTATGATTAGAGTTAATGAAAAATTAAAGCAACCCCATCTAGGCAGGACATCTAATGGTTCAGACTCTTCAGTAATGAAGGTTTGAGTCATCCTGCCAGGCCAAGCACCATGACCAGCTGACATGCTTTCCCCAGGGCAAAGGGAATGAGAAATGAGTAGTGAAAGAAGGCAGTTATAAATACCAGCTACAACAATGTGGGCTGCTGCAGAAACCATGACTGTAATAGTATTTACCTAATGGGTTAACAGTATCTGCCAGCACAGGAGGGAAAAAAAATCAATCAACAAACAAGTTATCCTTTCAAATGAAATGCTTAGGGAAAAAGACCAACTTTTACTAACAGAAATTTCTTAGCCTCTGGAAGGCCATCTTATTCACTAACACACGCTAGAAGACTTCGGCAATATCCTGCTCCATTGTAGAAAACAGCAATCTGATCCTCTTTTCTCCTCAATCATTAAAGAGATTATGCATTTAGGGTGTGAGGTTCCTTCTTGGACAAGTAGCCAGAAGTTATTTCTTCCAGTTTCTTCTCAAGGTGCAGAATTAAGTCTCCTCTCATATAACTGAAAAGAAAGAGACGTGTCATTAACCAGAAGAGAGCCAAAGAACCTATGCTGTAGGAAGCACTGTGGGAGATAGAAGGATGAAGTTTAACAGTCAGCATGGAGACAGAAATGCATCTGCATGGTAAGAGGTAGTCTAGCCAGGCAATAACAAATGCTGGCGAGGGTATGGAGAAAAGGGAAATTTCATACATTATTGTTGGGAATATAAATTACTACAACAACTATGAAGAAGAGTTTGGAGGTTCCTCGAAAACCTGAAAATGGAGCTATCATATGATCCAGAAATCCTCCTGCTGGGTATACTCCCAAGAGGAAGGAAGTCAGTATACCTTAGAGATAACTGCACTCCCATGTTTGTTGCAGCACCATTCACAGTAGCCAAGATTTAGAAGGAACCTAAGTGTCCACCAACAGATGAATGGGTAAAGAAAATGTGGTACATATACACAACGGAGTGCCATTCAACTATAAAAAAGAATGAGATTTAGTCATTTGCAACAACATGGATGGAACAAAGGTCATTATGTTAAGTGCAATAAGCAAGGCACAGAAGACAAACTTCGCATGTTCTCACTTATTAGTGGTAGCAAAAAATTTTAAACAACTGAACTAATGGAGATAGAGAGTAGAATGACAGTTACCGGAGGCTGGGAAGGTTAGTGGGGGTGGGGGGAAGTGCAGATGATTAATACGTACAAAAATGGAATGAGTAAGATGTAGTATTTGATAGCATGACAGGGTGACTATAGTCAGTAATAATTTAATTATACATTAAAAAATAACAAGAGTATAATTGGATTATCTGTAACACAAAAGATAAATGCTTGAGGTGATAGATACCCCATTTACTTTGATGTGTTTATTACACATTGTTGTCTGTATCACAATGTCTCATATACCACAGAAATGTATGCATCTGCTATGTACCTACACAAATTTCTTAAAAAGAGGTAATCTAGCAAAGACAAAGAGTGTCAATTGAGGGACAATGTCTACCTCAGACTATGGTGAGAATGGAATTCTCCATAGGCTTAAAAGAATGAGTTAGATTCAGACGACATTAACCTAAGTAACTGTGGAGACAGACGTAACTATAAGTGAGGGCCAAGGTTTGAGAAATTCAAGACAGAGGCCCCCACACTCACCGCCAGTATGTGTTGGACCCAAATGCTTAAAGAAATTGGACAGTTCCTATCTCTACCCACCTTGCTGCTTCCTTGATGATGGATTCAAAAAATTGTTTCTTGACTTCTATAGGTCCTTGCACTCCTTCAAGCAATTTGAAGATTTCTTCATAATCTGAAGATGTTAAAAAAACTTCAATATTATCAAACACAAAGAAGAATAGAAATGAATCTTGCTTAACCTATACCTCATTAATCATGCTTCATGGGCTAAAATGTTTTAAATCCTTAAATCAAGATACCTGCACATACAAAACCTAAAAAATAAAAAAAGACACCTGCACCTACCTACGAATGAAAGTCTTGTAAACCATAACCCAGTGAGAAAAGAAAAAAAAAAGGTGTACTATTTTTTAGTCAAAGAAAAGACGAATTATCATAAATTATGGGTAAACTCAACTCTGGCAAGGAATTAGCCTCAACAGATAACATAGATATCTTCTGAATTATAGAAAGGGAGACTTCCTCTAGTTTTTTAAAACAGACATTCTTATACTACTTACTTTGTCCAAAGCATTGAATTTCCTTCACTAACTGATATTTTATATCAGCATTAATTTCTTCTTGGCTTTTTAGAAAAGGGAGTATTTCTCTGCATTTTAGGTCATCTGCAGAGAAATTGCTGGTAACGATGACTCCTACAGGTGCATTTCTACCAGGTTTCTGCATCAGCCCATCTTTGCTGAAGCCAGTGAAGTCATCAGTCCAAGAATCCAATTGGCTGGGTGGAATACTATCTCCTGCCTTAAGCTCTGGTGAAACAAATTTTGACAAAAAGCCATCAGTTGGAGTTTCACCACGTTCTTTACCCTCCACATAGACATCATGAATGACAGATCTGGAAACCAAACTGAGAAGTTGAGCTGTGGGATATGTGTCTTTCATCACACCTCTGGGTACATCTATGTGCTCCTCAGTTTCTAGGGAATTATTTATTTCATAAATGGGAGGATATACCAGGGGGAAATCCCAGACCTGACAAATTGAGGCCAGGACACATAAAATGATAAAACCATCTCTTAGTTTCTGGCTCTATAAATACATATGGAAACCAAGTAAGACAGTATAACTCTAACAAATATTCACAGGTCCCTGGTAGTCAACTGTTAGTGTCAGCTTGTTATGCTTTATAAGTTGAAAGCAGCAAGTCTCACTTGATATCATGATTTTTCAAGTTCACATACAACCCACCATGCTTTATTCAGCTGGAAGCCGGAAAACTCGGATATACCTCAACCTGCCTCCTCTCTATATCAAATATATTCTGAGAAAATATAGGCAGCCATTAATGCTGAAAGTTCTATACCCACTCATCACCTAAAATCCCTTTTAGCATATGATCTTCCTCTTTCTTCTTTTCTGCCTCAGAAAAGTGACTTTCCTTTCATTCCAGGTCTGTCATCTCTTTCATTTCTTCATTGTCTGTGGCAGGCAGCATGCCAGGAGCTAGGGATCAGCAGTAAACAGCCCAGAGAGCAATATCGTCTGCCCTTGTGGAGCTCACACCCTCAAGGGGCAGTCAGACAGGACATACATAGTGAGAAAATCAAAGAAAGCAGCGTTGGACTGGTGTTGGGGAAGCAATCCACAGGCCTGTGGGAGACAGCAGCAGAGGGAGCCCCAGGAGCTGCCGCCGGTTGGGCAGGGCCTTCTGAGGAGGTGCCCTTGGGCAGGGATTGGAGAAAGACATGGGGCTACCTGTGCAGAGGCAGAGGGGGATTTACAGGCTGCAATGAGTCTAAGGGTATGGGCTGTAGTGAGGATGGACCGGGCACTATGGGGTGAAGGAGATAAGCAGAGAGAGCCAGGAGATGGATGAGACTTGTGTTAGTAGAGGGTGAAGAAGGCCAGGCCATGTAGAGCCTCGCAGACCAAAGCTGGTTTACGGTCTGTTCTGAGCGCTTAGTAGAGTTGAGGATGGATTTTCAGGAGTGACGTGGCGTGATGTCATTTACATGCCAACACGATGACCTGGCTGCAGGATTGGAGGGTGTGTGTTAGATGGGGGCAATAATGGGAGACATGGAGACATCACAGTAGCTCAGTGACTCATCATGGCAGAGTGGAATAGAAGGAGAGAGAAATGCTGGGATTCAGAAAATGTTTATAGTATTTAGAGAAGAGAAGAAAAAGAAAGGTAGAAAAAAAGAATGATAGGGGCTGGAAGTTGTGGCTCATGCCTGTAATCCCAGCACTTTGGGAGGCCGAGATCGGTGGATCACCTGAGGAGAGGAGTTCAAGACAAGTTTGGCCAACATGGTGAGACCCCATATTTACTAATAATACAAAATTTTTCTGATTATGCTGGCAGGCGCCTGTAATCTCAGCTACCCGGGAGGCTGAGGCAGGAGAATCACTTGAACTGGGAGACAGAGTTTGCAGTGAGCCAAGATTGCACTACTGCACTCCAGCCTTGCTGACAAGAGTGAAACTGTCTCAAAAAAAAAAAAAAAAGAAAGAAAGAAAAAAGAAAAGAGGGATTCACTAGTAAGGACAAGAAATTTTTAAAAATACACGTTGTGGAAAATGGAAATCCTAGAAGGTTTCCACGAAGGAGCAAGTAAACAACTGTCAAATGCTGTTGTGAAATTAATGGCAATGCCAGCCGAAACTGTTGACCTTGACAAGGACAGTTTATCTGGAAGGTAAGAGGCAGGAGGCCAGCTGCACTGGATATAGCATGAAGAGGACATGAGGTCAGGCCAACTTACCCTTTTCCATAGACATGGCGGAGTGTCCAGTACCACCACCTCTTGCTCCTTTTGTCCATGCCAACAGGGCCATCTTCTGCCTTTTCTGATATGAAGGACTGTCAGATTCCCTGGGACGTTTAAACACATTTTCAGGTTCTACAGCCACCTTCTCTCCTTTATCGGTCATGGTTTCCTGAAATACATCAATGAACATATCCCACTCATGACAAAAATCTAACAATCACAAAATGGCAAACAGTCTGCATATGTGTATCCAACCAAGAATGTGAATCATTAATTTGACGTATAATCATGAGCCAAAATTTACCAAGCCCCAACAAACACTCTGTTCTCATGAAAAGAAACCTAATTTTAATGCATGCTAAGTTAAAAAGAAGGAAGAATAGTTTAATCAAAATCAATCAAAATGATTGCAGAATAGGCAGCGACCATCAATCAAATGTAGATTAAACTATTATTAACTCTTTGAAGATTATAAACCAATTTGTATCAACCCTTGTTAGAAAAAATAATTCCTTTTCTTTGTCCTCATTTTAGGAGATTCATACAAACCTGGTAACAACATCTGACAAGGACTTTAGAAAAAAATAAATGATAAGATCAAGACAAAACTACAAGCTAAGATCACCCTGAATTTAAACACAAGAATTCTAAACAAAAGTTTAGCAAACAAAATGCAATAGTACTTAAAAACAACATACATCAACCATTGTCAAACATATTGCAGAAAGGCAAGATTGATTTCACATTTGAAAATCAATAAATATAATGCACCACATTAACAAAAAGTAAAAAAAAAAAAAAACAGGGATACACCACAGGATTATTTTCATAGATGGGGGGGTCAATGTTTAACATTTATTCATGACAAAAACCATCAGTAACTTAGAAAAGAAGGCAACTTTCTAATGGTGGTAAGCGTATGCACAAAAAAATCATGGTAAAAACCATACTTAATAGTGACATATCAGTATTTTCTCCCTGAGTTTGGAAACACGACAAAAATATCAACTATCCATTCAACAATTTACTGGAGGGTCTAAGAAGTGCAGTGGCATCAGGAAGACATAATAGGTTTAAAAACTGGAAAGAAATGAAACTGTTATTATTCACATACAACAATGTTCTGTACATAGACAATGTAAAAGAATAAAATCATTAGGGTTAATAAACAAACTTAGTCAAGTTACTAGATATAATAAAAACCACCGGTATTTCTTTATAATTAATAGAAACAAATAATTAGAATATGAAATTTCAAATGTCATTAAAAACAGTACCAGAAACATCAAATACTTAGGAATAAATCTAATGAACATGTGCTGGAGCACTACACAATAATTACAAAACATCACTGAGAGAAATTCAAGGCTGCAGTAAATGGAAAAAATATTCTTTACACGGAATGGAAGACATTATTAAGAGATATTACTGTTAATTCTCCGTGAATGATCATGGCAATCTTACTTAAAATTACACTATGTAAAATAAATTTTCCAAAAACTGACAAGCTGATAGTTTTTTAAAAAGTATATGGGAATTGCCAGCACGGTGGCTCAAGCCTGTAATCCCAGCACTTTGGGAGGCTGAGGCAGGCTGATCACGACATCAAGAGATTGAGACCATACTGGCCAACGTAGTGAAACCCCGTCTCTACTAAAAACAGAAAAATCAGTTGGGCGTGCTGGCTCATGCCTGTAGTCCCAGCTACTCAGGAGGCTGAGGCAGGAGAAGCACTTGAACTCAGGAGGCAGAGGTTGCAGTAAGCCACGATTGTGCCACTGCATTCCAGCCTGTGCGACAGAGTGAGACTTTGTCTAAAAAAAATTTTTTTAAATAGTATATGGTAATTAAAGATTTGGAAAAGCCAGGACAATTTTTTTTTTTTTTTTTTTTTTTTTTGGGACGGGTTTTCGTTTTTTTGCCCAGGCTGGGGTGGAAGGGCGCGATCTCGGCTCACCGCAACCTCCGTCTCCTGGGTTCAGGCAATTCTCCTGCCTCAGCCTCCTGAGTAGCTGGGATTACAGGCACGCACCACCATGCCCAGCTAATTTTTTGTATTTTTAGTAGAGACGGGGTTTCACCATGTTGACCAGGATGGTCTCGATCTCTTGACCTCGTGATCCACCCGCCTCGGCCTCCCAAAGTGCTGGGATTACAGGCTTGAGCCACCGCGCCCGGCCAAGCCAGGACAATTTTTAAGAAGAATAACTAATTTGGTAGATATACACTACTAAATATGAGATTTACTGTAAGGGTAGAGTAATTAAAACAGTGTAGTATTGGAGCAATGACAGACAAATGCACCAAAGGAAGAGGACAGAGTCTGGAAACAATCTGGAAACACAAAAGAGCTAGAATTACCACAGAAGAGATTCTGTAAATCATTGTGGAAAGGGCTGTGCTTTTAATAAATACACTTTATAAATGCAGGGAAAATATAAACCTTGACTCTTATCCACTCCAAAAAACATTATTAAAGATGGATAGACAATCTAGTAAAACACTTGAGATATTATCTTCATAACTATAGAACTGGGAAAGATGTTTCTAATGAGGATACAAAAGCACTAACCATAAAGAATGAATTGTTTAATTTGACATAATTAAATGGAAAATTTCTGTTCCTCCAAAGACACTATTAAGACAGTGAAAATGCAAAGCATATTTGTAGATTATATATCATAGATTAGATTGTATAGGTTATATGTAAAAATATATATTAACCACACTCACACAAGCTCACACACACACATATATATATACATATGTATGTATGTACGTATATATGACAAAAAGTGAGTGGAATACATAACATATCCAGAACTACACATCAATTTTTAAGAAACAAACATCCCAATAAAATTTGAGGGGGAAAGCTGAATACACACTTCATAACAGTCATACTCAAATATGACTTTAATAAACACATAAAACACACCCAGACTCTGACTTTACTCCATTCAACGAAAATTTATTTGAGATGAATTTGAGACCTAGAAGAAAACAATATAATCGTCATGGCATTGGGTAAGGCAAAGATTTTTCTTAAAATAATAAAAAGCAATAGCCATAAATAATACACTGACTAATAAAATTAAGAGAGTCTGTTCGTCGAAAACATTTTATGGAGACAGTGTAAAAGCAAAACAGATTTATAGAAGACATTAAAATTACATATGTATTTTATATATGTACATATATGCCTGTGTGTATGTGTGTATAACTGAAATCCAGAATATATGTAAACTACAAATCCATTTTTAAAGTACAAACATCTCAGTAAAATCTGGGAGTAGAGGCCTGAAAAGGAACTTCCTAAAGGGCACAGTTAAATGACCAATAAATACATAAAAACGTGCTCCAAAACCATCAATAAATAGCTGGAATCGGTGGCTCATACCTGTAATCCCAGTATTTTGAGAGGCCGAGGTGGGTGAATCGCTTAAGCCAGAAGTTCGAGACCAGCCAGGGCAACTTGGCAAAACCCCCTCTCTACGAAAAAAAAATACAAAAATTAGCTGGGCATGGTGGTGCATGCTTGTAGTCCCAGGTACGAACTCCGGAGGTTGAGGCACGAGAATTCCTCGAGCCCGGGAGGTCGAAGTGCCGCTGTACTCCAGCCTGGGATACAGGGGGAGACCCCACTTCAAAACACAAACAAGTATCAATCAATAAGTAAACAATAAATAAATAAATAAAAACAATTTTTAAAAAGATGTGCTCAATCTCATTAATCAGCAGAGAAATGCAAGTGTAGACATAAGGAGAGATCACTGCACACCCATCAGAGCAACTGGAATGAAAAACTAACTGTACAGTGAGTGTGTGAATGTGGCACAGCTGGAATCTTCGAATATTTCTGTACACCGATTCCCACACAGACACCCCAGGCTGTGGTTGAAAGGTCAGATAGTACCCCGGGGAAGAGCTCCTTCAGAACTGAGATCAACCAACGGAGGAAAAGCACTCCAACCCGGGGCGAGACAGAGCTCCCAGGGTCAGGTGGCCTCCATCATGGCGGACATAGAGCTCCCCGAGTCCCACCATAGGCTTCGAGAATCCAAGGAACAGCACCTCACTCCCCCGCAGCACCGGGAGACAGCACCCACAGATAATTTAAAAACCCAGCACCAAGAGAAAGCATTTGGTAAGCATCCCCATCAGGAACAAGCAGAACCAAAGAGAGGCCAACACATCCTAGCTGAGCATGAGCAACATCCAAAGACAAATGCGCCCCACAGAGGACATCAGCACCCAAAGAAGAGCTCCTCGTGGAGTGAGATAAAGCCCACGACAGTGACCCCACAGAGCGGTGATAGTGCGTCCGGGGCACAGCCACCCCCACCCTGGCCCATGAGCACAGGCAGAGTCCAGAAGGCAGAGTCTCCCCTCAGGGCTGTGACTGAGCGGGGGAAGACACACCCCGGAACCCAAGGCTGACACAGACAACCAAGGCAGGATCCCTACGTCCTGGTTCAGGTCATTTCAGCAGGAAAAGTCCCTCGCATCACCTAGAGGGAGCCCCCGAGAAAACCCCCCCAGTCCCACAACATAGCTGAGACGGGGTGCCCAAGGAAAATGTTCCCCCACAGCCAACACAGGCTCCCACGGCGGTGTCCTCAGAGTGGGAACACATAGCCCAGTGATCCATACCACACACCCGACGGAGAGCACCCCAGAAAAGAGGCTTTCCTAGGACAAAGGACACTTTCCAGGGTGAAATGAAAGCATTCAGGGAAAAACTGCTCCACTCACAGTCCTGAAGTCCTGACCTTGCCGGAGAAGCGGAAGCGTCACATCACAAAATGGCAGTGAAACTGCTGTGGCACCTCCCCCCGGTTGAACTTTCTAGAAAAGTGCCTCTGGGAGTTGTGGGAAATGGGCCCCCTAGGGCACCTGGGAGTGATGTGCACGGGACCCGTCTCACCGGAAGCACCAATCCCGTAGTGCCTCAGGGAGATAGAAGGAAGGTAAGCGGCCGGCCACTGGGAACCTGTTGGGGGCGCCACAGTCCAGAGGAGAAGACTCGCACACAGCAGGACCAAGGGCGGCAGCCCAGAGAGACCCAGGAAGAGCAGCGCTCCCCTTCGCTGACTCTGGCGCCCTCTAAAGGCGGCCTTCAATATCAACTGCACCGCGCACATAGGCAGAGGAACACAGAACCTTCTCACACTGCAGTATAAAAGGGTGAATTTGGAGCTGACAGGCAAATATATCTTGTGATATATTTGTCTGGCTTTGATAATGGGGTAATACTGGCCTCATAGAATGAAGTAGTGTTTCTTCCTCCGTTATTTTCTTGAAGACATTGCTAAGT